CCCGGCTCCACCGGAAGTGCCGCAGGGGCCGAAGCCTCTACTGGACGACCGCCGGCGAGGAAGGGCAAGACACTGTGGCTGGTGAGTCGCCTGTGGTGGCGCCCGGTGGGCGGGGGGAGCCGCCGGGGGCGCCACAACACTATGTGGGGCATAAACCTTGGAGCGGCTGATGTCTCCTGGCAAAGGTGGGGGTGCCGTTTCAGAATGAGGCATTTTCATGTTACGTTTAACAGAACTGGCCACCAGAGGGAGCCAGAGCCCATGCTATGGGGCTGGGGGTAGCGTTTGCTGTTATCCACCATTTTCAGTATCCACGGGAGGCTTGTAACCAATCCCCCAATGGATACGGGGGTCCTACTGTACGGAAAGCACCCGTTCCATGCTTATCGCTGCCACCCACTTCCTCCTTTGCAGCTGTCCTCAAACGCCGCCTCCTCTCGGCCCAGGCCCGGCGCAAGAAGCGGCCACGGCCCCTCCCGCAGAGGCCTCTCTGGTCGGAAACATCCAGCGACAGCTCTGAATAAATTCCAGACCCTTGTGGCAGAAATCGAGCGAGCAAGAGACCCACTCGTGCCTGATCCAGCTTTGCCAACGGTGTGCGGATGCACCATTGACTCCCACTGCGCCTCTGTATAAGGGGAAGACACACGCTTTCCGAGGAGCGGGCTCCTCACCACTTCAGGATCTGCTTTTCCTACTCAATAAAAATCTATTTTCCTAGGTAAGCAGCCAGTTTCCCCCCCATCTTGTCCTCCCCTTAAAAAAAAAAAGGGACAGACATACAGATGCTCACATTTTTTAATTATTTGTTACAAATTTACAACAAACGAGATTCCAGCACGGTGCCCAGTCCGACACTCCGGCCGCCCCCCATTTCCTGGCCATTCTCCCCCCTGCACCCCACCTCCATCCCAGCCGTCCCTCTTAGAAGTTTTTGGGGTGGAGGGGGGTGAATGGGTTGCAGTGGGAGCGGGCTGCTCTGATTTTGCCGACGGGTGTCGTCTCCCCCCCCCATCCCGTTGGGGGAACCCCCGTTTGGACTTAAAAACCTACGGCGCAGAACCTGTTTCTGAGAGGACAGGGTTCGATGCCTGGCAGGGTGGAGTGGGGCTCCGAGAAAGTTCGGGCTAAAAC